TTGAATGCCTGTTTCTTATCCCCTTAATTAGATTTGCAAAGGAATCACTCATTGCAGGCTGTTTGTTCAAGAGGTAAATAATTTTTAATTTCACATAAGTTTCTTCATATCTAAGACAAAGTTCAGTGTATAAACTGCTCTCTCTTGCTTTCTTAAGGATTTTAAAGTGGCTTGTTTGCTCTTAAAAGTAGCTTTTTGTCATCCAACTACCATGACAACTTTGCACAGCTATTAGGGTAAATAAGGCATTTTTACCAATGGAGCCCCAAACCGCGAAGCACCTAGCTCCGTATCCTTTCAGTTTTTCATTGGAACTGACACTTAAACTCTTAGATGATTTTCCTCCTTATTCTTTTAAAAGCTGTATTTTAAATTTACCATGAACGTATTTTCGAGCTGACAAAAATGTTTCAGGGCAATGTCGCCATCTTTAGCGGAAAAACTACCTTTCCCAGAATGCATTTCCCTTATATCAGTCCATCAGTCCCTTATATCAGTCCCTTATATCATTTCCCATATCAGTCATTTCCCATAGTTCTTTTCAGGTCTGAGAGTCAACTAGTTCTCTTTTACCAGACTTGCTTACAAATTCTTGCCCGGGAGGTTTGAACAAAGTTTTTTGCTTTTGCAGTGGGAGATTTGAACAAGCATTTTAAATTTTCAGCTTTGGCACATTGGAGATTCCTGATCTCTCCTCAGCTGGCTTCAACAGGTGTCTCTCCTTCATTTGACACTGGCCCCCAAATCAGAACTGCACCTGCCTCGTTAGCGTGCATCGAGGTGGGCAATTTCTGATAGCAACTTTCCTTGGGGCTTGTGTTTGCCTTAGCCAGTTAGTGAAAAACAAAAGCATTTACAACAGCTTTTCCATAGCTCCTTTATGAGAGATTTTTCTCCCACTGATTTTATTCTCATTTTGCTTGTTCCTTCCCCCCCCCCCCCCCAGATGCAGAGCTTCAGGTATCTGTCTGCGGCTCTGTACCTCTGCTAGCTGCCTTTGGAGGTAGGGGCTTTTTTTTCTCCCCCTGAATCTGCCTCAAATTCTAGCAGCTTTTCACAGGTCATGTATTTTCTGGGGAGGAATACGTCCCTTCTGTTTCTTCAGAGTCTTTTTCCCAGACAGTTCCCAGTTTGGTCTCAGTTTATCCCCTCTACCCCAGAAACAGTTTCCGACACTACAGTGGCGGCTTTCCCTGCTACTGAAGGTAGGGGTTTTTGTCTGTTTTCCCGGTCTGTGTGGTTTGCGTACAGACTGAAAATCTAACAAGGGAGGTTTTTGCCATTTCTAAACTCCCATTAGAACAGGCGTTTTGTTTCATCAGGCCTTCACCTGGCCGAGTCCCCCAATGGGTTGCTTTTGCTTGTCTGGGTGCTCAAGGACAGAGCTTATGCCAGAGGCAATCACCCCTCAGGGCTACACTCCCTCATCTGATCGGGAGTTAGTTGAAACAAAGCTTTTCTCAAAGAGATGCTTTCTCTGACAGAAAAGAAAGCTTTACTCCTGGATAGTTCTATTCTGCCCTAGCTGGGCTCTTTCCCCAGACAGCGTTCTGACTCAGCAGCACAACTGCTTCAGACACAGTTCAGCTTTACTGTTTTCCCAGAAAGGTCTTTACTCTGATAGGAAAGCTTTTCTCAGATTTCTTTTTGCAGCTGTGGACCTATCAACCCGGGACTTGTAGGAAAGTGGACAACTGTGCCATTCCCACTGGCTTTAGCTTTAGCTTTGTTCATTGGCAATCTTCCCCTGGGTCCTGCACCTTCCTGCCTCAGCTCTGTGCTCCAGGAAGTTTACAACTGCAGGAACCCTAGTATCCCCGAAATGCACTCCAACTCAGAGATGTTGGCCAGTTGCCTCTGGGTTTTTGCTCAGAAGCGAGGATACAATGCTTGAGGGATCTTTGCATTAGGAAGATTAGGAGCACCTTTTCAAAGACTCACTCAGAAACAAAACCCTTGATGCCTCAGCTCAGCTGTTAACTGAAAAGGTTGGCTTTTTTGCTTTTCTCGGGTAAAGTTTCCCGCTCTTTTAGGCTCTCTATAGCTTTTCACCCACACTCTCCCAAGTGTTTCCCTCATGGTACTCTGATCCACTGTCTTTTACTAGCTTGAAGAGACAGCTTAGAAGAGGTTTTTAGGAACTTGTCCCTGCCTCCTGCATTGCAGGGAGGATTGTTAAAGCTTGAAAGAGAACTTGGAGAGGTTTTGCCGTCTTAAGAGGTTTGTTGTTTTCCCTTTGAGCTAATCACAGGTGGTCCCCATACTAATATCTTCAGGTGATTCTAATTTTTGTCCTTCTGAGAGAGTTCTGAAAGGCTTTAGTTTTTAAGTTTTAAGAGCTTTTGAGAAAGATTAAGGCTTTTTAGAGAGATTTTTTTCCCCAAATTTTCCAAGAAAAGCTTTATAGTTTAAGAGAAAGATTTTTTTCCCCAAGAGAGAAAGACCAACTTTTCCCAAAACTTCCCAACTTTAAACTTTTTGGCTTTTTACACCCCCATTTTTGCCTCAGGGAGAAATCACTTTCTCCTGCCGGTTGGACTTAGCATTTCAACTGTCCCCAGGTCAAAAGCTTCCATAGGAAACTTTTTCTTCCCCATAAACTCAGAGAAGAGCTTTTTTACTACCTGTAAAGCCCAAAGAAAGAATTTTTCCCCAGTTTGCGTTCATAGCCCCCAAAGTTAGAAAATTGAGTTTTTCTGTCTAGTTGCCTTACTTATCTTAAATTTTTTCTACACAATCTTACATTTCTAAGTTTTTCCTACTATATTACTACCCTATATCTTATACTTATTTTTCCCAGATAGAAATTGAGAAAGGGATAGAAGATAGAAAATTTTGACAGAAGAGAATTTCGCTGCAGCATCGGACATCCTTCCAGTCCGCTTTCCTTTTCTCTCGAGCATAAAACCCCTCCTCTCAATAATATATATATATATATAAAATATATATTTTCCATAACACCGGCATGCCTTTCCACTGGCAGGGCTGACTCAGCACTTTCGCCAAAAACTCTGTAATAAAACTATTATTTTCCTTTATCTTTAGTCCCTGTTCATTTGTCTTTAGTCCCTGTTCATTTGTCTTTAGTCCCCCCTTTTTTTAGTCCCTTTTTTTCTTTAGTCCCTGTTCATGGCGCCATTCTGTGGGGCGTTTACCCAATCACCCCCACAGTTCCCCAGAGTTTTCTTGAGTGTGAGCAGCAGGAAATATTAGATAGAAGGATTTATTGTGGAGAATCTTGCAGAGATAAACAGATAGAAAATAAAGGATAGCCTGGAGAGGGCCTGGAACCTATTCCAACGGGCCCCGACTGTCTCTGCCCCAGGGTTTTTATAGAGACGCCAGAGGGTGGAGCAAAAGACCTCCTCCCCCAGCACAGCCAAGTGCAGACCATCCCAGACACCTGCACTCAGGCCCGTGGTCCTAATCATCCTCTATGCGGACCTGCTGGGTAAAGCCACGAGGAACCCGAGAATGGGCTCCCACACTTGATCAAACCATATAAACTGGAAAGCAATCCATAGGTTCTCATCTTCCATGGAAACAAAAGCAGAAACTCTTTTCCAAGGCAACATATCCTTAGATCCAAATTTTGAAATCAAGATACATTTAAGATACATATGTTGGTTTAAATTAGTAGCTCCCACAATCAAATGTTTCTCTAGGGATAAAAATCCCAAAGTAAATGACTACAATTCATCAATAGAATTGGGAGAGCACTCCCTAAAAATAGTGATGATACTTTGCATCTATTAGATCCTGTAATTATTGAAGCCACTTCAGTGCATTTATTGCCTATTCCAGGATCAATTATTGGAACCCAGAGAGAAATATCTAATTTGGTCGGTATGATTAGTAAAACTACAAATATATTAGTAAAAATTCAATCAAGAGATGGGTGAACTGAGGACCACATTATTACAATATAGAACTATAGATTATTTGTTGCTCAATCATAAATTTGGTTATCAACAATTACCTGCATGTGTTTGCTGTGGGATGGTCTGTATGTCAAATGTGTTGCTGATTGGTCAATGAATAAATCACTGATTGGTCAGTGGCCAGGCAGGAACTATAGGCGGGACTGAGAGAACAGGAAGCTGGGTGAGAGAGACACTGCCAGCCGCCATCAGGATAAGGAAGATGTAAAGTACCGGTAAGCCACAAGCCACGTGGCAAGGTATAGATTAATAGAAATGGATTAATTTAAGCTGTAAAAACAGTTAGCAAGAAGCCTGCCACGGCCATACAGTTTAAAACCAATATAAGTCTCTGTGTTTGCTTGATTGGGTCTGAGTGGCTGTGGGACTGGCAGGTGAGAGAGATTTGTCCTGACTGTGGGCCAGGCAGGAAAACTCAGCTACAAATGGCGTCCAACGTGGTGACAAGAGTTTCCACCTAAAAACTGAGAAAAAAGATTCTAAAATGGAGCTAAAAACAGCTTCCTAATTGTCTCTCTCAAATGAGCGGCAGCTGCCTGTTTGAGCTACTGGCGGGTTCCTAGCGTGCGTACATGCTCGACCTGCCGTATAGCGGGAATGAGGCCTCTGCAAGTGGCACATTAAGCTGTGTGGTGGATTTAGCCTTTGCTAGTACAAAAAAAAAAAAAGAGGTTTCTGGGCTACACGCTGCTTTGATAGAAGCATAGACCCACTATTTCTGAGAGTTGATGTCTCCCAGAGCTGGCGGAAAACGTATTACCACCATGTTGGGAAGCTGAAGTGAGTGGAGCCAGCAGCGCCAGTGCCGTTTCAGGCTTAGAAGGCTGCAGTTTAAAGCAATAGGCTCAAGCTAATATAAAATAATAAGCCACGTAAAGATGGCTACCACACAGAGAATCTGGATTATGTTCTCTTTGATATTTGTAACTGAAGAAAAACATTTGATTACAAAAGCTGTTGAGTTATGCCAAAATGTATATTTTAAAGGTACCTTGACTTTAAAATTTGGATGTAAGGATATGTTGCTTTGGAAAGGAGACTCTGCTTTTGTTTCCACAGAAAGCCAGAGGCTATGGATTTGTTCCAGATTAAGACACATCAGGTTTGACCAGCCAAGACCACCTGAAAGGTCTCCGATGACACCATGGCCCAGATGATCCAACATCCAGAACCGTTTCAAGGCAACTGGCTCAGATGATACAGCCTCACGGACTACTCCATGATCCTAAAATTTTCTTTGTTTCCCCAGAAGATACAGCGCCCCCCCTCCAGCAGGAATTAGTAAGAGAAGCTATGCCCAAATTCCCAAATATACCAAGCTGACTTTGGAGATGTGTAAAGGTTAAAACCTTCCTTTTTAAGAAAAGAAAAGGGGAAGTGCTGTGGGATGGTCTGTATGTCAAATGTGTTGCTGATTGGTCAATGAATAAATCACTGATTGGTCAGTGGCCAGGCAGGAACTATAGGCGGGACTAACAGAGAGGAAAATTGAGAGAACAGGAAGCTGGGTGAGAGAGACACTGCCAGCCGCCATCAGGATAAGGAAGATGTAAAGTACCGGTAAGCCACAAGCCACGTGGCAAGGTATAGATTAATAGAAATGGATTAATTTAAGCTGTAAGAACAGTTAGCAAGAAGCCTGCCATGGCCATACAGTTTGTAACCAATATAAGTCTCTGTGTTTACTTGGTTGGGTCTGATGGCTGTGAGACTGGCAGGTGAGAGAGATTTGTCCTGACTGTGGGCCAGGCAGGAAAACTCTAGCAACATGTGTTGATCAATGTGTCAGATCTTTCTCATACTATTGACATAGAGTCAATGGATTCAACCAGGGCCTCTATTAAGACTGCTATTTTTTCTTTAAAAACTTAGAAATGGGGAGATGTAGAGAACATAAGAGCCTTGTGCACATGGATAAGTACTAGAGAATCCAGCAAAGTTAAACACACGGCTTACCTCTTCAATGGAATGAGGTGCAAAGCTGTTCTTCCTGGAATGCTAGGAATTATGTTGTTTTAGAACCTGGTAACCTTTTGGTATCTGATGAGACAGGCTCTGCCTTATCCCCAAGAATTTGTTTTTATTTATTTGTAGTAGGCAAGGCCCATAGGGCCAATTTCCTTGGCCCAAACCGGTTGTCAGGGCATGCACAGAATGTACTTCCTTATGAGCCAACCTGAAGTCTACCTGAGGGCCTAGCAACAGGTGCTGTCAGCATTCCTGATCACTGTCAGAGTTCCTGATTGTGCCCAGCCAATGAGGGAAGACCATGCAATGCCACCAGATTGAGACACAGCCTGGGTGCTGGGAGGAGGGTATACAAGGCCTTCCCTGTTATTGAATAAACGATTCTGCTGTTTGCCTTCAACTGACTCCTGGTCTGTGCCATTGACACACACCTTCTCACACCCTCCCTCCAAGGGAGCTGTTAGTGTCAAGCAACATCTGGCATCCAACATGGGGTTTCTGTTACTTTCTCTTTCCCAGTGTAGATTCTGATCATCTCCCTCCCTTCACTCATGGTGCTTGATAGCACCCCCTAGACGGTGTGTTTTGGTGAGAAGGACATTCAGTTTTGTGTTCTTTTGGTCCCTTCAGCAGGTAAACATTGGGACCTCCATTTCTTTACTCCTTTTGTGTTGTCTATCATGTTTGTCTGGCCATCCCATTAGGAAGGCACATTTTTTTCTGTTTCCATACAACAACTCCACAAAAGGACTGATAATCCAGGAGGAGTGCCTAGAGACACCTTGTGGGCATAAGACCATGGCCTATAAAAACCACATAAGTGCCCTACTAAGCACAAGACATAAGGATCTGATACAAATTTTCACCCATTGACAGTCATCTATTGTCTGCTTTCTATTTCCCTCTAAAAGATGAGTAACCTTGCCGGGCGGTGGTGGCGCACGCCTTTAATCCCAGTACTCGGGAGGCAGAGCCAGGTGGATCTCTGTGAGTTCAAGGCCAGCCTGGGCTACCAAGTGAGTCCCAGGAAAGGCGCAAAGCTACACAGAGAAACCCTGTCTCAAAAAACCAAAAAAAAAAAAAAAAAGATGGGTAACCTTTTCATCACCCCCACCACTTCCATGTCAGATATATCTCTATGATATTCGATGATAAGAAGACAGTCAGTTTGAGCCCTGCAAAATGTGTCAAGGAGAATGCAGCTCTCATTAAATCATGTGCTGCTCCAGCTTCTGCTCCACCACCACTGTGGGCAGCCATGCCCCCACCACAGAATTCTTTGGGTGATATACTCCAGTACACACCTCCCTGAGGAGGTGGCTACTCTCCCGCAGGGCCAGGCATCTTACAACTCTCACAGCCTACACCACTGTCAGTCTGTAGGCCCATAGAAGCCTTCCCTGTCAAGGTGAACAGCTAACACATGAAATTTTCCAGTTAAGTCAGACAAAGACAGAGGTTATAGCCTTTGACTCTTTATTTTCTGAAAAGGTTTGGCATGATGTAAAAAGGCTGCTTGATCCCTCCTGGATTTTAACTCATGTTTTGATTGGCAGGGTGGTGCTCTTAATCTTTTTCCTTTTTAAGTCTCATACAGCACACCCAACAACAGGCAGAAGCTAAAACGACTCCACAGGTGTTAATGGCTCTTAGACATCCAACACATAGCCCTCCACAGCAGGTTGTGCATGCCTGGCTTTCTGAAATTGATAAGGCTACTCACTGACCCTCCTCACCCAGGGTGACTCCCCAGGGATGAACGCTCTTTGACGGCTGATAGTATTTGGCAAGCCAACCTAAGAGAGGCACAATCTAATTGCTGAGCAACTCTGAGGCCTGGTAAAGACCGCCTGGGCATAGAACTCTGACTCCTGCTGAGCACCTACATAATAAAATAAAAGTGTGGATATGTGGTAGGACAGGCCCATAGGGTCGAGCAAAACTGGCTCAAACCAGTAGCCAAGGCAAGCACATATTGTACTTCCTCAATGGCCAATCTGGAGTCTGTCTGAGGGCCTAGCAACAGGTGCTGTCAGAGTTCCTGATCCTGTGGAATCTGCCTGAGGGCCAAGCAAGAGGTACTGTCAGAATTCCTGATAGTGCACAGCCAATGAGGGATGACCACGCAATGCCATCAGATTGGGTGATTAATAACCAACAACCTTTTTAGGATAAGTACTCACAGAATCTAAATGCCACTCTCTAGAAAAAGTTAGTGGTAGAACATGGAAGTTGGGAAAGAAGAATTGACTTGACATTTCAAAATTTTTGTTGTATCCAAAATAGAAAAGAGAATACTGTTTGAAACATGAATACACAAATTTAATGCTACAAGATTATGTTTAAGAGAATATTCTGATGCCAGGTGGTGGCGGCGGCGGCGGCGGCGGCGGCGGCGGCGGCGGCGGCGGCGGCGGCGGCGGCGCACGCCTTTAATCCCAGCACTCTGTAGGCAGAGTCGGCGGATCTCTGTGAGTTCGAGGCCAGCCTAGTCTGCAAAGTGAGATCCAGGACAGGCACCAAAACTACTGGTACAGTATCAAAGAAACCCGTTTGCAAACTACAGACACTGCAGATGCTCTACAAGATTATATGGTGAAAACATTCTGGCATCTATAAAGAAAAAAAATCACGATATACCCCACTTCATAGGATCTCAAACTTACCGACAACGGAACGATATCGACAACAGAAATTTGAAAGCTGTGTCCTTCTGAGCAGCCTCCGCGAGCACACCCCAGTCCCTCCCCTCCCGTGTCCCAGCCCCGCAGCTCCTCTGACCTGGGAGGTTCCAGGGCCGCCAGGCTGCGGTTCCCGCCACTGCGCTGCTGACTGGTGACTTTCCCAGGCCGCCCCGCGCGGCGACTGCGGCTCCGGGGAGATTTCAGGTCCCCGAATATGTGACTGGGTCTTCATCATGCAGTTCGCGACAACGACTCCACGAGTCCAACAGGGAATGGTGGAAATCCCTGTCCCTTCAGCCTGGTTTACTGAAACCTATCTGTTCGGCCCGCCAAATACATCGCTGCTTCCGGCTATGTGCCTCTTTCCAAACACCAACCTCCGTCTCTTTTTCTTACTTTTTATCTAAGTCCACCCCGCTGTTTCTTTTCTCCTAAAGGCCAATGATCAGGCAGGTGTTCCCTGCCCCAAAACTCCTGTGATCTAGATCAATGTCCCTCCTCCTTGGTCCTTGGAGACCCACCCCTCCCACTCTGTCTCAGGCTGCCTTCCACACAGCTCCAGCTGTCAGGCTGCCCTGGACCCGCTCTGCACAGCCTCCCTGAAAGATTTACAACAAGCCCCCACGGTCAGGCGTGTCCGCATATGCCTGGCGGATACTTCCGCCTAGCTAGGTCCAGGTCCAGGTCCAGATAGCCATTTCCGGGTCAGGGCATCTCGCGTGACCAAGATCCATGATGTCCCACTAGCCACTTAAGCGCGCAACGTGGCCATGTGATCTACGCGCTTGCGTATAGTAGTGACGCTGATCTGTCCACGCCCAGCCTTTAAAATCCGGGGCCATGTTCCCGGTTCCTTCTTCTCCACACACGTGTTTCCCGCAGGCCTGTTCACTCTCTGTCCCTTTAATAAAACTCTTGTTAGCGGATTCTGTCGTGTTTAGTGGCATTTCCTTGCAGGGTAAGCACACAACGCAGCCGAAAAACTAACACTCCCCACATGCTTGCTGCCAGCCTAGACCAGACCTGGATCTAGGAGGACGCTGCCCCCCCCCCCCCCCCCCCCCCCCCCCCCCCCCCCGGGCTCTGACCCTGTGCTCTGACCCCTTCAGATACAAGTTATCCGGCCTAAGTTCTCACCTTGGAATACAAGCCTCCTGGGTAAAACACACAGCAAAAGAAAACAAACACCCTAAATTCTGATGTTCAAGTCTCATTCCCAAAACAAATTAAAACTAAGATAAAACGCCCCGGGTTCAAAGCACAAACTGTATCTGTATCCCCTAAATAAAAACAGTTAAATGATATCCAATATACAGAACTCAAAAACCAGAGTCATGCTCAAAATGGTCAAAACATGTAAAGCATGTGAATCAAGTCAAAGAAGATTGGAACAAAATGATCCATAGGCAAGAAAACACTAGCAAATGCCTGAAGGATTCCAAGACATTGTAGGGTATGAAAATTAAATTCAGTAAGTACTTAGAAACGAAACACACACACACACACACACACACACACACACACACACACACACACACACACACACACACAACCCAAACTGAAATGAAACAGGAAATGAAAAATACAATAAGCCTCATAATTCAAAGAGATCAATCAGGTAGGAGACAGACTATTAGCCCTGAAGACAAGGTGGAGCAGCTGAATGGCTCAAAGAAAATAAAGAATTAAAATAAAAATGTTTAGGACTGGAGAGATGGCTCAGAAGTTAAGAGCACTGACTGCTCTTCCAGAGGTCCTGAGTTCAATTCCCAGCACCCACAGGGTTGCTCACAACAATCAATAGTGAGATCTGGTGCCCTCTTCTGGCCTGATGGCATACATGCAAACAGAACACTGTATACATAAGAAATAAATAAATCTTTAAATAAATAAATAAATAAAGCAAAATAAAAATGTTCTATGCAAGTAGCACTAGTTAAAGTTAAAAGGGAAGTTCCATCTGTATTTCTACACTTATTCTGAAATATTCTAAATTTTTGAAACAATAACTCACTCTGGAGAGCTTTGCCGGGAAGCTGGATAATCATTACCATCCCTATACAAATGAAGTGACACTAAAAAGTCATCTTTACTCTTCCCTCACAGAACTCCACTCTTACCACTCAAATATCCAGAATTACACTATTAGCAATGTTGACTTGGGGGAAGACAATTCAGTTACTCAGAGTTTAGAAAGGAAATAGGTATCTCAGGAAGTCAGTGGTCAGTCAGACTTTTAACAGCCCAGGGCTGAAGTCATGCTGTGCTGTGAGATGGGGATGTTGTGCTTGTGCTAACACGGAAACAAGTTGGTCTTCTGGGAAGGATACTGAAGGTGCTTTTATGGAAAACACAGAAAATTCCTTTTGAAAACTCAGGGGTGAATGTAGAAGCTTGTGGCTGTTCAAGATGCATAAAATAAGCCATTGAAATGGCACAGCCTTAAACAGCTCAGTTACACTATCCCATCAATGCTCTGGGAATACTGAGGAAGGGGCAGTGGGGAGGAAATAAGAAAACATGAGGAACGGCCAGGACATGTCATGCTCTAGACTCCACACAGCTGCTGTAATCAGTAACCCAGAGCCACTTTACTCACCTGCACTGGGCTCAGTCAAGGCCAACCCTGGACACAATCAGTCTAGGAAGGGCAGAGGCTCACAGGGCCCCTCCCTTGTGCTCTCAACTGTGGCTATGGAGAGATTTTAGGAGAAGG